CACCCCATTTTAGATTGTCTTTCTCCTATAAAGGTCTTGCAATAGCCTTGAAGTTGCTAGCAGACAACATGCTAATCCTCTGATCGCTTGGATAAAAGGATTTTGACTAGGAAGACCCAGCAGGGTCACTTGACATGACAAACACTCCAAGATTTTCAGTGCCTCAGTATAAATATGCCCAAACTAAACAATACCACTATATATAAACACACACACCAAAAAAAAAAAAAAAAAAAAAAAAAAAAAGGATAATGTCTGAAAGGACTCTATGTTTGTCTTTAAGTTAGCCAAGGACATAAAGTGGAAACACAGATGCCATGGGTTGGTTAACATTCTGGTGAACAGTTAGACAGCTTATTCCCTGGTTCTTCCCATTACCACTGTTTGCTACTTTATGACTTGAGAGGAAATCCAGATGGAGTCTTCCCTGTCTGCAATGCCTCAATTCAAATCCCACTGAAATTACTAAGATTCCCAATGAAATGTTTAAATTCTGGATCAAAATCCTAAGGCCAGAAAGTCTAACGTGTTTTCTTGGGACACAAATAACATAAAAGGGTATCTATTAGAACTTCAAAATAATGGCAGCATTGCACTTAATTTTAATAAGCTCCTAGAAACTACAGAAACAATGTGGTAGCCAAACACCTGCTTTTCCAGATGCCTGAATGATATTTTAAAATCCAGCTTCGAGAGTTCAGCTAAAGTAAGGTTTTATCAAGGGCTTTGTGAACCTGAACAGGCAAATCTTTCTGAAAAAATAATCCAAATGAGAATATTTGAACTAAGTGCAAATACCTGCTTCCCTGTGGCAGCACAGTGAGAGGCCGCCTCTAATGGATTTTGGCTCAATCTAACAATCCAGCCCCTTCCCTGTGGTGCAAGATGAGTGGCACCAACTCTGTTCTAACTCGCTTCATTTCAGGTGTACAAAGATCTTTTAGCTGTAAAATTTCATGTCCTAGACAGGTAAAATCATTCCACTTATGATGAGCTTTCTTTGTTTTCAGAAAGCTTTTAGTTTGTCCAAGTCTCAGTTGTAGGTATTCCTGCTCTTGAAAGCACAGCACAGGTAACAGTTCATACCTGCCTTGGGGATGTCAGTGATCTTCAGTCTTTGCTCCAACACCTTCCCCTTCTTTTTTATTTTAATAGCAAAATATTTACCCTTCCAGTTGGCAATTTTTTTGCAATACTCAGAGCCAAACAGCTTAGCAGAGTCTGCTTTTTGGACAGTTATAAGGTAATGAAAGCAAGGTAACAAACAGTCCAGGGAGCGAACAAAGTGCACAGCAAGACAGAGGCAAGGACTACTGTGACCTACTCAGTTTTTGCAAACTTAAGGTATGTAATTCTACATTAATAAGTGTTCCAGCTTCTTAACATCCCCATGTGTAAAAAAAAAAAATAAATCGGTAAATCAGTAATAATTAGAAAACTAGTTTTCTTTCCCATTTTGCCTTTGCACTTCAACATCTATTCTCTATTAAGTGCTCTCTTCATTTGTTTGCTCAATCTTCTCTCTTGAGCAGATAAAAGGGTTTCATTAAAGCAAAGCCTAATGCTGTCAGTGGCAGGAGAGCTGCCAACCCTGGCGGTTTTAGTAAGTCTATTAAGCTGACCTAAGCATGCTAATACTTAATAAATTCCTTCTATTCACAGCAGTCCTTTGCAAATATTCTTTTATCTCATATGAAAAAAATAAGTTATGCAATCCAAGTGACTAATAAAAGACCAGACCCCACACTCTACCTTACCTTTACATATATAATTTTTTTTTTTTTTTGTCCTAAGAGAAACAGCAGCATACCATCAATCGTAACCTCTGCTGTACCAGAAGCACTTCTTGAGATTACAGGAAGGTCTAACAACAGCTTCATTAAAGTATTCTGTTACAGGGATTATTAAGAAGAAACCAGCACTGGACAATCAAAACAGAACTTTTTTTTTTTTTTTTTCAAGGATTTCCTGCCACAGCTCATTTGCAGAGTAGATGTTCTAAACCTATCTAAAGGACATCTGTTATTCCCATCTAGTACAGCTTACCTCTAATTTACCCAGAGCTCAACAATCCCCCAGATTCTACAAATCACTGACTTCCATGGCACTTAATACGGTAGAAAATACTCTGAAGACTAACAAGTGAACTACGTAACAGTACCAACAGTCATCACCGCATATCAAAGTAAAAACCTTTATTCTCCTTAACATCATTTGCCTTTCTTCAGGGCTCCACAGCTCCAGCTACTAATTCATGTTTCATTGAAACAAAGTTTTTAAAGCAACAAAGCATTGAAAAGTTCATCTCTTAAATAAGAGAACAAATCTGTAGCAGTAGAATAATTTCAGTTCAACAAAAATCTTGACCAAAAAAAACCAAAAAAAAAAATCTATGTGGCTTCTAAAAAAAAAAAAAAAAAAAGGAGTGCTCATGTCAAAAAGAAGATTGATCTTAATTCTTCTCTTCTGAAAAATTAATGTCATTGTGTAGGTAATGTAACAAATTGGGGCGGGGGTGGGGCAAGAGGGAGAGGGCACCACCCTGATGTCTAACAGGAAACATACTCAATAAGCATGATTTATTTAAGTGCACATTTGCCTGAGAACTACCATCAGGCAAGTGCAGGAATGATGGTGAAGCAGTCCCACAGCATCATTTCTCCAGACATTTGTGATGACCACAATAGAAAACATTGGCTAGCGACAGCTGATTTTTTATTTATTCTCCATTTTCAGGTTTTTTCAAACGGTACTAGAGACCTTATTTGGTTTAGTTCACACAAAATTATCATACAGATGAAAAAAATAATAAAAGGACCATGGCTCTGTGAATAGACAGGGTCGTATTTTAAACTCAGAACCTAAACTGTCCTCATAAGAAAAAAAGCACTCATCTTTGTAAGGGTTTAACAGACAAGAACTAATCACACACATGCCGATTATTATATTTAGTGCAGAATTTATACACCAGCTACTGCAGTGAGCCTAACAACACATCATCAACTTTGCATAGAAGCAGAACACCTACCAAGGAAAATAAACCAACTTTCTCCATCAAGGACTGTCTTTCTGCTTCCCCAAGGAAAGAGAAATTGTGCTGAAGCCACCTACAGCAGGCAGCAATCATGTTGCTTAGCTGTAGCTGTGGTGAATCCTTACAAATAAAGGACAACTTGGCACTTAGACAGTGATGAATTAGGCTTCTTCACAATCACCCAAGTATACCCTTAAGCAATTCTCCTCTGCGTTATTTCATTAATTTAATTCATATCCTTGCAGGGCAAAACAGTACTTACACTAGATAATGCAACAGCCTGCTGACCTCTTCTCACATGGCTTAGTTCTGCTGTTCTACTGAATGGGAACACCCACTTGTCAGAGAACAGAAAATACAGATGAGTTAGAGCATGAAGAAGCAAGTGAAATTCTCTCCTGTGAATAAACTTACTTTAATGTAAGAGAAACACAGCAACACTTTTTCTATTATTTTAAAATAAATACTCTTAGAATCTAATCTGAATGATCCACGTGATGCTGATTAAAACACCCATCTACTGCAGGAGAAAGACTTCAATCATTCCACCCCTAAATTCACATCTAAAAGCTTGGTTTTATAGCATAACACTGGGTATATCTGCATTCTTATTTTTCAAGCTTATGGAAAAAAATACAAATTAAAGACCTTGACAAAAATCTAGTTTGCCACAGAAGGCTATGAAAACGCAAAAAAAAAAATCATCATATAGAATATCAATGTATTTTATAGATTCATCTCTAGTGCCATCTTGCTACCAAATGATTCCCCTTGTGGTAAAAACCTTAGTTAGGAAAGGACTGTGTGCAAAGGAACTTGTGACATCTGTCCTCCAACTTATGTTTGTATAAAAATGGTAAATTTTTAGTAACAAATATAAATTTCTCTTAAAAACCCATGTATTTGTTGTTGAGGAAATTGGTATTGTTCAAAAAATAAATACATGTAAAAAAACCTGTTAACATTTTTCCTTCAATTGCCAAGTCTAGGTACCATCATCACAAAGGTAAGAAAGCAACAAACCCATTATTTCATAAGAAATTGATAGTATTTTTGTGCACAGCTGTTGATTTATATAAGTGGACTTTATACTGCTAGGCAACATGATTAATATACCAGAAAAGAAGGTAAAAAGTAGGTCAGTGATATAGGACACTGGCTCTTCAACTCAACTTGCCTCCCTGCCTCCAACATGAAGCATAACATTCATTCCCCCTGTTTTGGAGCACTAAATAACCCTGTAACTAGACACAGAAGACAAGAATTATTAGACATTATCCACCCTTGATCTTTACACAAAATTCCCATGACATCTATAGAAATTCCACAGCTGCACAGAACAGAGTAAGGTCCATGGCAAACACAGCTTTCAGGATTTGCTCTTCAATAAATATCACAAGCGTAAGAGAGACAGCAAATGTTAACATTTTATTTGTTTTGAACATATAAAGGTTATAACTCTCTGAAACAATTCTTTTAGAGCCATCTTGTGGGGAAAATAAGCAATTTAAAACAATACATGTACTCTAACTGGTTTTCTACCAAAAAGATCAGTGTTCAGCATGACATCTTCTAGTACTCTTTTAAAAAAATAAATGTCTCAGTCACACTGTAAACTTTATACAACATTGTTTAAACCACTGGTACATGAAGGAAGTGCCTTTATGAGCAATCATTTGTTAAAAGATTGGTTCTAGATAGAAAATGTATATAACATTAAGTTAAAGATGCTATTTTTCTGAAGAGTGCTTTTAGGCCAGATTCCATTCAAACTCCACCCAACTGCAGCCCACAAAAAAAGCACAAAAACCTAGAGAAGCTGAGGCTTCTTTCAGAGCTCACTTGGCCAAATAAGTAAATCAGATGGAATGATTAAATCTAACAAAAATGGGGTAAAAAGCCCCAAAATAAATCTAAATACAGTAGTAGATTCAGCACTCAAAGCTGAAAAGCTTTTGTTCTTTAATATCCTTAGCATTGCCAATTTATTTAAAGTTTTGGTAATATGCCAGTTCTGAACTATTTGTTTACTACACCAGTTGTTTATAAAGAACTCCTTAAATGACAGTTTTCTGTTTGCGTACACTTAAGTGAAGTACAGGGCTGGGCAGTCAATTTCAGAATTACCAGAAGTCATGATGCAGGCTTCAGCTACCTAGAGCAATCAAACAACAGCTGCTGCTTGATCTATGTCTCCTGTCTACAAAGCAAAGCGCTTATATTTTATCCTAGAGAACAAAAGCGCACATGTAGTTCATATATCTTACTCTGTTTTAACTTATGCCCTATTAAAATACTTCATTTACATAGAACATTAAAGCGTATCACATCACATTTATCCAATACATAATTATCTTCTATTAATACAAAAGTAAAACAGAATATCACAGAACGCTGCTACGAAGTGCACAGTCAACAGGTGCCACAGATATACGCACTTTTTGGAGCTGTTACAATCAGTGTAGAGTATAGACTAGCAGGCACCTCTGTTAATTATTGTTTTTTAAATAAATAAGGAAATTTGACAATAAAAGGGTCCTACAGCACCCAAAGCCTCTGACAGCTGTAACTAAACAGAACATATTGGCATGTATAACCAGACAATTTTGCTAAGGCAAGCACAAGTATGTCAATTTTTGATTTTACACTTCTACCAAACTCACTGAAAGAAGGTGTACATGTGCGCTTACAGCTTTCCTTCTTCCTTAAAGATGACAATGTGATCCACTTCCTCCACATCCCCTTTAAACTTTGGAAAGGAGCCCTGACTCAGGGGCACTCGCCTTAATGAGATTCTGGATTTCTTTGAATTTTGGATGTTCTTTATCAGCTACCAGCTGCAGCAATATAGCTTCACTAGTAGTAACTATAATTCCAGTACGAGCAAGACGCTGAAAGAGAAAAGAGCAGAGAAAGAATAACATGAGATACTTGCAAATGTGAATGAGTATGCATTTTGTAAAGATGACAGACGGTATTTTTAAAAACATCTCCTATTAAAAAAAGTATTGACAATTCAATTCCAGCATTTCTTAGCAGTGCCATTTATAAAGCTAGGATAAAAAGTGACATGGTTTAGACTTTACTGAGGAAAAAGGCAGCCCTGGATTACAAATAAGGCTTCCTACTTGGACTGGATTCCTTCCCCATGTCAGATTTAATATGCAGAAGACCTACCCACTCTTATATCAACAACCCTTTCCCCTTGCATGGTCCCGAGGATAGCATTCTGCACTCTCATGCATATTTGAAAGGCCTGGGGAAAAAGAAAATAGCAAGGTCCAAGCTAAAGGTGTTAAGTAAAAAAATTAATTGTAACAATTTCTCTTTCAGGGCTTGTTATGTACCGGTACTGTGGTCTTTGGACTATGCAGCGCACTAGTACTAATAATCTCAGGAGGCAGAATGAAAAGCTCTTCTACAGACTGTATAAATCATACTGGCACAACAGCAGCTCCTTTTAACTGACAACCCATTATAGTCCTAGTAATTCCCGAATTAGTTGTCACAGGCTCCGGAATAAAAAGCATCACTGCATCAAAAGCAAAACTGAAAGAGGCCTGCTAGATCTTGTAAGCGTGCAACTAAACAAAGCAATACTTCTTGTAGCCCAAGCCACAAGACGTATTGCAAATTTTTTTGACAGTTATGACTGTGGTTGTTGCCTACGTAGCAAAGCTACCTTGAAGTAAAGGCTGACCACCCCCTACTCCCCCATCAGCTTCCCAGCAATCATCCAAATGCTTCGGCAGTAAAAGTCTTCATGGGTCCAGCTTTTCCTCTTTCATTCTCTACTCAGCTGCATCCTCCACCAAAGCTAATGGGGTCCTGAATGATCCAAGGGAGGGCAAGAGGAAGCCAATACAGGTATGTACACCTTCAGACAGGTTTCAATTCTAATTACTAAAGGAAAGAAAAGCTCCAAACTTTCTAGGGCAGACACAGATCACTGCTGTTTAGTTGTTCAATTACAAAGCAATTGATGGGGGAAAGTTATTAATTTTAGGGGACCGGTAAAGTATATATAACCACAGTCTACATAATGATAAACTAACTATGCTAGATTTACTCAAGTCAATGCTTCCTGCTTGCAATAATGGCAGCAAGCCTTGTGATATTTTAAAGTTGAAACAAAACAGATAGCTTCCCCGGCTCTCCTACTGTGTAGGACACGTTTGTTTAAACCACATACACATATAAAACAAATATAGGAAAACAGAAATGAAATATTATGGCTATGTTTTCAAGATTTACTTCTCCAGGAATACAAAGTTTTCGCTTTTAACTAGTATGGACTAGAGAAAAACAGACTGTTAAAGAACCTTGACTTCTGAGAAGTGTTGATTGAAAAAACAGAATGTCTTCTCTTTAGGAGCAAAACATACCATAACATGTCAAAGACGCTGGCATTGACTTATACTCTACTTCTAGGGCCAAGTATAATTTATACAGTTTTGAGATTAGTAGGAATGAAGAGATGCACGTGCTAAGCATACTGGATGATTCTCAAGGAAAGGAAAAGTTTTCTTAGAACACAGTCTTTCAGACGAAGGAAAGCAGCAACTGCGTGTTGCATCCACAATGCAGGAACAAGCAGAACAGATACAAACCAGAAAAGAAATCCAGCAGGAACAGACTAACCTGGCTCAATCCAAGACCAAGCATCTTCACAAGGCACAAGACATCTTCCTCAGATAGGGCAGAGATTAGGAACAGCCACAACCTTGGCCAGTTGGGCTGAACTATTTCATCAGTGGCAATTTTGAGGTTTTTCGGTTTCTAGGATTTTGCTTGATTGCAAGTTTTTGTCTGCTGTCATTTTTAAGTGCACCACAGAAGAAGAGACTAACTCTTTAGGGTCATCCAGGCAGACATGAAAACTTTGGCTACCAATTACTTCAAACTGCACTAGTAAACCTGTTCAGATATGTGCATGTTTGTCACCAGCACCATCAGAACACATGCTATGTGAGGGCAAATACGGAGAACTGAAGGGGTGGGTGAGACCAAATGGGATTATTTGAGGTTGCTGAGGAAGCTGGTTGTTATCACTGCAAGGTCACTCATTATCATCCTTGAAAGGCCACTGTGAACAGAGGAGGTCTGTCTTACTGGGAAGAAGTAAATGTTACACCCATCTTCCCAGAAAGGTAAGGAGAAGGATCCAGGGAACCCAGATCAACGAACCTCACCTCAGCTCACCAGGTATGGAGCAAGTTTGCACAAGAGACAGTGTCAGCCTCACCAATTATATCTGCATGACTAGGAACCGTCAGCTGTATGGTGAGACTAAAGCAGGATTACCCAATGCTTTGGTATTTTATCAGCTTCCCTAAGAAACGTATCGCCATGGTCAATCAAGATTACTGCCATGCCCAGTACATGTATCCCTTTCTCCTGGTCTCCCTGCTCCCAAGCATGCCCACAGTCCTCAGTAGCATTTTTAAGAGAGGCTCTACAGCTCAAAAAGGAGACAGTGTTGGCACGTGCAGTCACAGAGGAGGAGGAGGAGAAGTTACTGCCGTGTAACTGGACGGCTCATCACAGCAAGCCAGCAAACGTTCTCTAAATTGTATTTTAATGGTGACTACTTAAGGGACCACAACAAAACATTTTCTTTGTGCTTGGTGAGAAAACATTGCAAAGACATACTTGAAAGTTACTTAAAACTGACCAATTTGCCTGGATTACAGCTTTAGCAACCAACTACGCTTTTAAGATGATCAGTATCTTTTTGACTAGACAGAAAAACTAGCTAGTCACTGCTTTAACCTCCATTACACTGAACTAACTTCTACACTTGCAGACACCATGTAAGTGATAATCAAATGTACAAAGATGTACACAATAAGGCAAACATATTTCAGTTTTTCTATATTTGTTTTGTCTGCTACTGCTGCTGCTGCACCCCATTGACTTGGGAAGTCTGTGATTTCAGTCATTCCTGCACTCTGTGTGCCTCACTATGCTTTACACGACAGATGACATTAAGCTTCCACTTAATCAAAGTCATGAGTTTCATCAAATGCTATGGGCTGGTGATTTCCCTTTAGCCTTTAATTCTCTTATTCATGACAAACAGAAGAAATTAAAAAAGTCTTCTCCAAATCTATGAAAAAAGTATAAAGCACTGTAGTTATTAGTTTCGCTTTCCAAATAATTTTTAGGGCCCGAGGCAAAAATTGCAATACTTAATGTATATATAAGTTTTTGATTTCCAACAGTGATGCCTGTAGGCAAGTTAGAGTACACTATCAAAAACCCATTTGCATTAATTTACTACCACATAGTTGTACGTGCTTTTAAATCTTCTCGTTACATTTATCTCCACTTTCTTAACATTTAGTTAGACTAAGCTCCTAGAATGGGGGGGTGGGGTGAAGTCTTTACTATAATCACAGAGTCTTGAGATTAAGCTTTAATTTGCGCTGATGAGGAAGAGCAGAGGGAGGAGCAGACATACAAGAAGGAGCTTTGAACAGGATCACTTACTGTATTCCATTGCATTTCAAGGAATTTCAACAGCAGAACAACTACTGTTTGGAATAACAAACCCAAAAGCTCTGCAGCACTTTTACTCTGCTACTCCATATAAAAATGTCCTAAATGGTTATAACAGAGTAACCTAGATTGCATGAAACAATTGCTTTTAAAATCCAAGTGTCCCAAACTGGGTTCCACATATTAAATAATAATTTAGGGAGGAAAAATAAAGCAGTAATTCTTCTCCATCCTGGAAGCTATTCTGAGAAGATGTTAGTGCTCTGATTCTCAAGTCTACATTTGTCCACTGCTTATCGTCCTTCGAAATTCCTTGTTAGCTTACAAGCTAACTAGCTTTCTGTGTAAGCACAGAAATTAACATACAGAGCCAAGGTGGAGAAAGCCTTGACTAAGAAACATACCTCAAGAGCAAACATTCTATCCATCATACTTCTTGATGAGGTGGCATCAGCTACAATATGAACTTCCAGACCTCTGCCAATTAATTCCAATGCTGTTTGCTGGATGCAGACATGAGTCTACAGGGAAGAAATCAAAGGCAAAAAACCCATCAACAAACCATTATTATAAAACATAAGTAGCACAATGCCATATTAGAATACATAATTAAATAGGGTTCAAACATGTATTTTTCTACCCCTAGCACTGCTAGGGAACTCAATGTGGGTTTTAAATGCTAGCCAAGCTTGAGACAAGAGCCTGTAATTTACAAATATCTAATTTCAAATTTCTTTATGAGGTAATATTAATGACAAATAACATAAGAATAATTTAATCTGTAGAGGATATCTGAGCTCTAAGCAATATAAATTGACTTTATTTTTAATTACAGAAAGCAATGTTTAATACCATTGTGGGCCAACAGACATTACCATAAACCAGTACAAGAATGGCAGGGCACATACTTCTACTCCGAACAGGACTACGCTGCGGACTCCAGGGATCTCTGCTAATGCTGCTTCGACTTCTGGCAACACCATTGAAAATTTTGTTTTGGGAAGCACAAGTTTAGCTCCTGTTAAATCAATCTCTTGCACAGTGCTGCCAAGACCTTTGGGATACTGTTCAGTTACAATAACTGGAATTCCTAAGAGCCGTGCACCTTGGAGCTGCAAAGGGGCAGGAAGGAAAGTGTACAAGAAGAGAAATTATTGAAGAACAATCATAGCAAAGACATTGTTGCTACATGAAACTGAATAACCAGTAAACTGGCTGTACATAAAATAATAATTTACATGTGTGATCAAAATTCACTACCAGAAAAAAAAAAAGCAAAAACCTTACCAGTCGTTGGCCCACACTGATGATATCACCAAAATACTTGATGGCAGGCCGGAATCGCTCTTGCATATCACAACAGAAAAACACAGTGCTTGAGGGTGTCAGGTTGCCCAAAGTAGTCATCTGAAAAACAAAATAATGTTTTCTGTGGCAGTGAAGACCCTTTCAGAAAAGCAACAGAATGAGAAAGAGTCTGCAGTGCCTCTGCCAGCTACAGCTTTAAGTCAAAATAGGAGAAAGGTTTTTCAAGCCTGATTTTGGTATGCTTCTAAATTCAAATGAACAGCTGATACTGAGCAGTACAGTACACTCATCAATAGGTAACCCAAGATTTTATGAGGTGGGAGACACAAGTCAATGTAAACGTACATGGAAACTTCTGAAGCCTGAGGGGGGCGTAAGAGCATACTGCCTAAAGTACTTAAAAAAAAAAAAGTACCAACAGCACAATTATATTTGTCAAATTAATTTCTAAATCCACAATCCTTGGAACTGACATAAAATCAGGGTAAACTAAAGTTAAAAAAAAGTCAGACTTCCACTTGCTTTCAATACGGTACGTACACTATTTTTGATAGTATCATTGTGTAGTCAGTTTGTTTTGTCTATCTCATCTTTTAGCACGAGTCTGATGAAAGCCCAAAAGCTAGAACAAAAGAAGAGAAGCTTGTCAGTATTATGACCAGAAACTTAACTGAATAAATTTTAAGTTAATCTCCCAGATTTTCCCTCATATAGGCTACTGAGTCAGGTAGGAAGGGGTGGGGGGGGGAGAATGGGTAAGAAAAAAAGAAATCCAAGATTGCATTTTCTCACACTTTGAAAGAGTGCTTTGTATTTATATGAAATTACTTGCACTACCTGCAGAAGCAAAGCGTAAAGCTTCAGCTGGAGGCTACAGTGAAAGAAAGAAGTTACATATTATCATTTAGCTGTAAGGCAACTTGAGAAATTACATCCATTCAGGAGCTTTTCAGCAGACTGATAAATCCAATTGAATAAACTGCTTCTGGGAAGTAGCCATTAATTGTACAGACAATATTTTCTGCAAACCGAGGTTGTGATACTTTAAACTAAAACAAAATTACGAAATGTGTAAAACAGTGTATTTTGTAAGAGCAGGGATGTATTGGGTTTACATGGCAAGGTTTTGGTAGCCAGGGGAGGCTGAAAGGTGGCTTTTGTGAGAAGATGTCAGAGGCTGCCCCATGTCAGGCAGAGCCAGTGCCATCTGGCTCTAAGTTGGATGCGCTGCTGAACAAAGCTGAGCCCATCAGCAATGCTGGTGGCGCCGCTGTAATTACATAGTTAAGAAAGAATAAAAAAGCCCACTGTCCAAGAGCAGCTGGGAGAGACAAGTGAGACGATGCGAGAGTCACAGCCCTACAGACACCAAAGTTGGTGAAGAAGGAGAGGGAGGACGAGCTCCAGGAGCCAGAGCAGAGATTCCCCTCAGCCCCTGGTGCAGCCCATGGTGGGGCCGGCTGTCCCCCTGCAGCCCAGGGAGGCCCACGGGGGAACAGATCCCCACGTGCAGCCCAGGGAGGATGCCCGAAGGAGGCTGTGACCCCATGGGAGTCCCATGCTGGAGCAGGCTCCTGGCAGGGCCTGTGGCCCCGTGGAGAGGAGCGCAGGCTGGAGCAGGTTTGCTGGCCAGACTGATCACCCTGCAGGGGACCCACGCTGGAGCAGTCTGCTCCTGAGGGACTGCACCCCATGGGAGGGAGGGACCCACACCGGAGCAGTTTGTGAAGGACTGCAGCCTGTGGGAAGGACCCACGCTGGAGAAGTTCATGGAGGACTGTATCCCGTGGGAGGGACCCCATGCTGGAGCAGGGGAGAAGTGAGGGGAGGAAGGAGCAACAGAGACATCGCGTTACGAACTGACCCCAACCCCCATTCCCTGTCCCCTTGTGCCACTTAGGTGGAGGAGGAAGAGAAGTTGGAAGCAAAGCTGAGCCTGGGAAGAAGGCAGATGTGGGGGGAAAGTGTTTTTACATTGGTTCATATTTCTCATCATTCTACTCTGTTACTGATTGGCAACAAATTAAATTAATTTCCCCAAGTTAAGCCTGTTTCGCCTATGACGGTAATTGGTAAGTGATCTCCCTGTCCTTATCTTGACCCATGAGGTTTTTGTCATGTTTTCTCCCCCTGCCCTGTTGAGGCAGAGTGATGGAACAGCTCCGTGGGCACCTGGATGCCAGCCAAGGTCAACTCACCACAAGGGAATCAGGAAACCTTAAATATTAGTCCCAAATCATTCATTGATTCACCACGTGTCTCCTGAGTAAAACACTTTTTGACCTCAATTTTCACAGCTAAAAACTACAGAAATGGCTGCGCTCAACCATACCAGATAGCCTGTTCAAACTATTGTGAAAATTACTTGGGCATTATAATTGTAAATGCTACCCACACCTCTCAGATTCAGTACACCACTACTGCCAAAAGAGCAAATGTCCATAAATGCAGTTCCTCCAGTCCTCATGGGTGAAATGGCAATACTGTTAATACAAGCAGTTACAAAGGCAAATGCAGTAATGACCACAAAGCAGATGCTCTAACACCGGACCCACTGATGCCACAAGAAGACAGAAGAACATCGTAACATGCATCAGGGAAATCTTTTTCACTAGGAAGGTACAGCTGCACTGAAATAGGTTACTATGGGTCGTGGGATCTCCATCCTTTGGAGGTTTTCAGCATTCAGCACAGGAATAGCAGTTTTGATCAAGAATTGGCTTTGCATAGAAGTTAGGGAAGGCAACCTCTCCAAATGACACTTCTGTGATTCTACACCATGGAATAAAGGAGGCCTGGGACCAAGAAAGCTTGAAAATAAAATTAAATATTGAATAACTACTTTGCTCTTGAACACCATCCATCTATGTGCTTGAACAATGCAGAAGCCAGGTGGTGGGAAGTATTAATGCACAATTCAACACTGCAGCGAGCACCTACCATGACCCCATTCTAACTCTGGCACTTAGTACCATCAGAGCAGTCAATCATGACATTTAACTTTCCTACCACTGAGGAGCAAAAATAGAGTAATTGAAATAAACAATATTTATAAGTGTACCTCCTACTCCAAAAGCATGTCATTTTGTCTTGGCATTTATATGACAAGCAAAGACCATTATTTTCTTCTATAAATCATTCCACCGCATTAATTTTTTTAAGAGCATTTTGCACTACCGCAAATCATCATGGATGGGTCTACTGCTTTAGTATACACCTTCCTATGCCAAGGCAGTGGACGGCACTACCATCCTTAGCACAGGAACAGGTACCAATAGACTAGGAAGGCCTTGAAGTAGCTGCATAGTCTGCCTCTACAGAAGGATCAACCAGACACAGATATTCTCCACCTGGCCTGACCCCTCAGCACTACACAATTTACAGAGCTCCTATACAATCTATCCCACAGCTCTGTTATCTTCACCTTGCAGTGTTTTCTCAGCAATAGCTCCCCTGTTGCCATTTAAGAGTGTTATTTCCAGTTCTGTCCATGGTGGATTTGAAATGCAAGAGCACTACCATCCTCCTTCACATGCATAACCATGCACAAACACCTATTACCATACCTCAAGACTCAGATCTGGTCTCCCTTTAGTCCTTTCCCTCCCCTATTCTAAAACATATCTAATACTTTCAATCTTTCCTCCTACAACTCAAATCATTTTCATCACCTTTCCTGAGGTGCTTTTCAAACTGCAGTCTACAGTGAGGCACCCAATACTACTAAACCAGAGGTATTTCTCTGCCCCATAATACTTCTCAGCACTAGCAGAGCCTCAGAGAAGACTGGTCAAGTCACAGCCCTTGCAGGCCCTGTTCAATTTGTACTTTCCAGTATGCTATTTGCTCTTTTCATAATTGATGATACTTAGACTCCTGAGACCAATTTTAACCTCAAAATCATCCCTTGAATTCTCCCTCATCTTTTGTGTAGTTGATTACTTCTACCTTAGTGTAGGAATTACTTCTACCTTTGTTGCATCCATTTCAAACTGCATCTTATTTCACCTTGTTTTTCCAACTTGTCATGAAAAGCCCGAATTCTGCTCTCTCAGATGCTTGCAGCACCTCCTGCAAAGACAGTATTTGCCCTAAATTTCATCAATGACATGGATGATGGAATATTTGCAAACAGTGGATTTGAAACAGATCTTGTAGAATCCAAGTCAATATTATTTTCATTTGACAGTGAAGCATGGAAGAAAACCGACTGCCTTTCCAGCCAGGGAGCATCCTCATTACAGACTTCCACTGAATCCATAATCCCATGTGTTTATGACAAACATCACAGGCAGCTGGGACAAAAGCCTTATATCTGCTTTCCTCTATTATTAAGTTGGTTTAATATGATTTAATTTATGCCTTCAGTTTAATACCAGTGGCACTCTAAAATAAAGTTGGGTCAACTATGAATTTGCTAAATAAAAGCTTTTACAAAATCTAACACAAATAATTCCTATACTGATTTTCAGATTTATTTCTGATTAACACGCAGTCTGAATCAAACCATGCAACACGTGGCAGAACAAGAAGAAGCTGGAAGAAATAAACGGCAAGATCAAAAAATCAACACTTGCTGGTGTTACTTGGAATAGCAGATGTGGGAAGGACAGAGCGCAGCAGAAAGCAGTTTGAAAGTAAGTTTCATAAATAGTAGCTAATGCAGTCCATAAATAATTCACAGAAGTATCTGCTCCATATAAAGGAAAGTTTCTGTTTACTGGTTCTTCAGTGCGCCACGTAAGTCCTACCACTCGCTTGCTCTCAAAGCCGTCCTCCCCTTCCATGGCCACACTGCATCAGGGACATGGGACACCTCCACCTTGCACATCCCCTCACCACGACTGCCTGCAACACTCCAGTGTCGCATCCTACCAGTGAGCTGGCGTGGGGGCAAACCCACACCCAAACATCAAACCTTGGGCCAGCACATCAGCACCCGTTTGCTTTCACTCTGAGGAGAGGCAGGCTGGGCAAGGATGGAAAGCCACTGCAGCCACATGGTACCTGTCCAAATCCACCCCAAAATATAACATCTACTCAGCTGCAATATCATTAAACAATCTGAATTTAAAAGAAAAAACAAACAAACCCCAAACCACCAAAACAAACAAACAAAAAACCGAAATCACCTGAAGTCCCCTCACACAGTATATAAGCTTTTCCATTTGTTTTGCTTCACTCCTTCTCAGTCAAGTCACCAGGACTTTCTTCCCCCCAGATGGAAGTTATCCACAGCACAACCAAAATAGGCAGGTCAAATGGACACGTAACCTGATGCAGCTCTTTCACCCAGCTAGAGAAGTCATCTCTAGGATCTTGTCCAGACCAGGATTTAAAGGTATGCTGTCACGAGTTACATACAGCTTTAAATCCTACTCTAGAAAAGGCCTAGGTGGGAAAGGACAGGTGTTTTTTCATATCTATTTAATCTCGGCTGATTATTACTAATCATACAAAATGTGACTCTGATGAAGTACTGTAATTACAGAATCAGCTTTACAAAAATATTCACATAAACTCCTTATCTGTACTTTCCCTATTCAAACTTCAGGGAACCATTACACATCCAAAATACAATTTTCCCCCAGTATTTGTAATGAACAAGAAAATGGAAGCAGAGAAATAATCCCATGTGACATCGCTAGTCACCTCATAAATCTCTTGCCAAGGTTACCCACTAAAAGGGCAGAGAAGAGGATCTCGCAGCCTTGGTATTTCAAGGGTGGCATAAAAAGACAACAACGAAAAGAGGCTATTGCATTTTCTTCTCCTTTCTTTCTAAAAGGAAATCTGTCAAGATGCTGTGCTGCTTATCTTTCGAAGGGAAAAAAAAAAAGAAATTCAGTGTAATGTATTTCAAAAGACAAACAGGTTACAAGTGTTTCAACTTAGGAATATAAATATTTATCTTGCGCTAAGCCAAAGTGCACCCTTTTATATGCAATTCAGCTTTTTAAAAGAACAGATTTAGTTAGATAAGAACATGATGTTCATATAATTAAGAGAGTACGAAATTCTTCATCAGAATCCAAAAATGATCAAAATGCTTGCTGCAAAGATACACAAACAAGGAGTCTGGATTTGAAGAAACCTCTCAGTATTTTCATTCCTTTTCTTCCCTTCTTTAAGGTTCCAAGTGCTGCTTTTGTTTTAATGTATTTATTTAGAAACACTGTATTTAATTGTGGCACTAACATATCACAGTTTATAATCGCACCTTTGGGAAAAAAAAAACAAACAAACCAAAACCAACCAGGCAATCAACTCCCCCTCACCTGACTCATATCCTGCAATTTATGCTTTGGCTTTTCCTGGTCTTCAGAAAATGGACTTAGGCTCCTAAGTTCATGTTATTTCTGTTTCCAGAGCACCTGAATGTAGCAATATTAGATACGCGTAAAAAGAGGGAAAATTTGTATATTAGTTCTATTTCACTCATCTTTCAGTGACAATCAAGTATCATTCTGCAAGCAGCTTTCTGCAAGACACACCTGAGATGTCAACATGTCTTGCTAAAAACCCCCCTGAAGTAGAGGTGCCTTACACAATGATTTCAATAATAATTTTACCCTTTCAGCTCTAGCATCTTAAGGTTACGAGTTTGTAAACACAGACCACAAGTACCGCTGAAGAGAAGTCACCTTGAAGTTATGACAGCAACGGTGAAATAGCCTCTCTCAGCCATATATTCGAATGCTTCCTGAACTCCCCTACTGCACGGCTGTAATGAGCATAGCTGTCTCATCTTCTGATCTCTCCAAAGTGTTTTTCCTTACTGTTTCTCTCCTCCAAAGGCAGCTACAACAGTTACAGCAAAACACGAGTTTTAGTTGCGCTGTTTAAATGCGTTTATAGTTAAAAGAGGTTAAAGTGGTCCTGCATTCCCCTGCCCCACCTACAAACACGGTTCTGTTAAAACCTTAAAAACACGTAAAATGCACGAAAAGCAGACTGCTCCTTTCTACTGGTACTCAGTCCCTCAAGTTGCAGGCAAACACCCTCGTCACCACTTGGGAGAGGCCAAGGGAAAAGTCCCTCCTCACTGCAAGTCTGTGGGTTGAGGCGTTTTAAGAGCGGCAGCCAGGCTGAACATTGGGGTTTACGGCATCCCACCAGCCAACACGGGGCGGGGGGGGAGAGCATTAAAAGTTCCAGTGGCCGTTTTGTGCCAGGACAGCTAAAGCAAACAAATGTACATATATGAGCACAGTACAAATACAACTGGAGAGCAAATGTCCTTGTACAGATCCAGCCTTGAATTGAGCTGCATGGAGTGGCTTTCCAAGGGCAGCATATGGCAATTTCTCCATGAGATTACGGTCCCCCTTCAACTGCAGGTGCAGGAAATTGAGGCAGCCCAGTCAAACACCACTGGGCACCAACATTTCTTGAGCTACTGCAACAAAAGGCAGCCTACCATGACAGGTCTGCACAGGAATCAAAATGGGAGGATATCCTTCCAGAGCTCATGGGTGCTATCACCCTACGGGTTAAAATGCCACCCCTAACTAAACCTGTAAGTCTATCTTATAAAGCGTGCACATAAAAAAACCTGAAATTATTGTCTAGGGATACAGATGCTAGTATCTTTGAATCTTAATTTTAAACCAAGTACATCTTTCCAAATACACAAGTCTAATCACATCAGCAAGCAAAGGTTGTCCCTCTTGAAAGACACGTTCAAAACAGCATTTCAAATGACTATGCCACATGCAGAGCTGACAAACCTATGTCAGGTATAACTGCTGGAGTGGTAGTGCATGAATCAATATATGGGGAGAAAGTATAATCTTCCCACCAGTAAATCCTAAAGGTCTTAAAAAGCGCAGCTGTGACTGTATCAGACCAAATGTTCCCCAAAAGAGCGATCTCCAAGCACCTGCTGGTGGCTTAAGGCGAGCTGACTGACATCATTGTGATGTCTCCAGCTCATTCTCAGCTGCTGAAGCACATCAAGGAGGCAACTAAAATAATACACGAGTACCATCCTTTTCAGATCAACAGTTGCTATTGTCACAGAATTGCAACAGTATCGGTGAAAGCAGCTCATCAATTAGGCGATTAATGCATTACATACTGGTTGATCCTGAAGCCCTGCAGTCAGTTAAAGCTGCAATAGTGCACCTGCACCCTGGGAATGACGTATCCTTCCATGTCTCAACACTGACCTTTCACACTGAGATGTACGTCCTGCTACGAACGCTCAGGCTGCATTTATAGTTTTCGCACAGAAGCCATCTGCAGGAAAGTCTTTGCAGAGCTGTGATCTGCACGCGCAAATCAGAAACAAAATTCTGACCTGCACCACTGTTACGCACCCAGATTACACAAATTCTGGTTTTAAAATCCTTGCTTGAATTAAACACCCGTAGCAACTCTTTTTGCAAGTTGGAGAGACTATCCTTTCCAGTTTCTTTGGTCAGGCCCCCCTCCATTCTGTTTCCAACACACAAAGAAGAAAGGTTTTAAAGTGAATTCGATGAGTGACGAACGATTAAATGAATAATAAATGACAAAATAAGTTATTAAATTAGTTTGGTTGTCTTAACCACTCTTCCCACGCAGAGGGTTAAGGAAAGGACAAAGGACTCTAAAGGCATCCTTGACCTACAGTCTAAGCGAACAGGCCACCTTGAGAGTTTATGGGTTCAAGACCCTACAATTAAAGAGGGTTTACAAACGGTGTGAATTAGACTGTTACTGCAAACATAAAGAGGAGCAATGTTTCAGTTTTTATGACATCACATTTTCAACTTAGTAACATTAGCTCGACAAACTAAAACTTCTTAGCTATAAATTAAGAAGAAGGTTCTGAATTAAAACAGTAACTATGTAGGGTTTTTTCTTTTTTTTTTTTTTAAAAAAAGTTGACTACTTTGATGCTGGAGAAAGGAAAAAGCTATTTTGCTTTGGTGCAACTATTACAGCACGGCTGGCACAAATCTCCATTGTCCATAAAGATATCTTAGCATGAAACACACGTACTGTATCTGTCTGGCAGTCTGGTCTCTCCTGGTTTATGGCCACAAAACTAGGGAGTTATGAACCTGTAAATCGGAAAAAGCTTTTGGGGGCAAGAAGGGGTAGCGAAAATCCTAGGGACCTACGAGCCACCAGACCAGGCAGAGCCCTCTTTGAGCTTCCACCTAGCAGCATCGCCTCCGGTTAAGGCTGGGCAGCACCAGCCGCCTGTTTTAGAGGAGAAGCACTGACTATGGCAGCCACCAGGCTTATTTCCCCATCCACGGGGCCAAGTTGAGCTCCGGCTCACTGGA